CCACGCTGTGGCAGTGCCAATCACCCTCACTATTGCAATTAAGTAAAGGTGGTGAATTTGTGCAGGACTTCTTGCAAGTCACGAGCCCATAATTTTATGCTGACTAACCTGATTATTATTATTTAAACTTAATTTTGTGAGCGCTTGACTTTTTATTGTGTACACAGATTTCATGACTACTCTCTGTGCTCATACAAGCACACCTTAAAAAGAACATAGGTCCCAACAGATTGCATTTTTTAATACAGATAGTCCTCGCTTAATGACTGCTCTGTTTAGTGATCATTCAAAATTATGATGGCACTGAAAATGTAACCCTACAACTGGTGCTTGCACTTTCAACTGTCGCAGCATCCCTTCTGTCACATGATTGAAATTTGAGCATTTTGCAACTGGTGGGCATTTACGACCATTGCAGCATTCCACGATCATGTCTGGATAGTTTTCATCCAGTTTCTAACCTTTCCTTTCTAGGGAAGGTTGTGGAGAAGGTGGTACACTGCAGCTTCAAAGAACTCTGGATGAAATGTATTACCTGGACCCCTCTCAGTCGGGATTCAGGCTGGGGTATGGGATGGAGATGGCATTGATTGCACTTTTGAATGAGCTCTGGAGGGAGTGGGATGGGGGTAGTGATCCATCCTACCTCTTCTTGACCTCTCAGTGGCTTTTGATACTATCAGTCATGGTATCCTGAGGGTTTGGTTCTTTCTCCTCTCCTGTTTAATATCTAAATGAGGTCACTGAGTGAGGTCATCCAACAGTCTGGGGTGAGGTATCACCAGTATGCTGTTGATACCCAGCTTTATATCTCCACCTGAGGCTGCTTGAGAGATGTCATGGATGTCCAATTCCACTGTCTGGATGCTGTAGGGAACTGGATGGTGCGCAGCAAGCTTCAGCTCAACCCAAGCAAGACTGAATGGCTTTGGATGTTTGGACTTTCTGGTGCCAGGGACTTTCCATTGTTGGTCTTGGATGAGGTGGCACTGCCTCAGACCCAGTGTGCAATCTAGTGGTCCTCCTAGACTCATGGCTCCTGCTTGAAGAGCAGGGCCTTTACATACCTTTGGGTTGTGCATCAGTTATGCCCATTCCTGGACTGGGAGGCCCTGCTCACTGTCAGTCATGACCTCCCATTTGACCACTGCAATGCACTCTACATGGGGCTGCCCTTGAAAAGCATTCAGAAGCTTTAACTGGTGCAGAATGTGGCAGCACAGGTAGTAAATGGCGCCAGTTATTCGGTGCATATAACACCTCTACTCCATGAGCTGCATTGGTTGCCAATGTGCTTCTGGGTGCAATGCAAGATGCTGGTTGTCACCTTTAATGCCCTTCATGGCTTGGGCCCTGGTTATTTGAAGAACCGTTTCTCCCCCGTTGTTTCTACCCATCCAATTCTGTCAGGCAGAATGGGCATGCTTCAGGTTTCATTGGCTAAGGAACGCTGGTTGGCAGGGCCTAGAAAACGTGCCTTTTCTGCTGTAGAGGCTGACTTATGGAACTTATGGAGATCAGGATGGCCCCAACCCTGCTGGCTTTTCATAAGTTCTTAAAGACCTGGCTCTGTTCCCAGGCCTGGGACCTTGAGCGTGGGCAGGAACCTGTTTCATGGTTAATTTAGTCATTATAATGGGTACTTTATTCTAAGTTGCTATGTATTTTAATGTTTACATTATTTTAATTGTTTTTATTTTTTAAATTTTGTTTGCTGCTTAGAGTACTTGGTGAGATGGGTGACCATACTAAATAAATAAATAAATAAATAAATAAATAAATAAATAAATAAATAAATGATAGGTGGCTTGCCAGTCCCAGTTGTGGTCATTAAGCAAGTACTACCTATAGATGGGACTATTAAATGTTAATTGTATGCATGACTCTTTTCCTTTTATGAACGAGAAATTACAATCAGTTTTAACTATGTATTGTTGAAGGCTTTCACGGCCGGCATACGATGGCTGGTGTGGGTCTTCCGGGCTGTGTGGCCGTGTTCTGGAAGTTTTGTTTCCAACATTTCGCCAGCACCTGTGACCGGCATCTTCAGAGTGCAGGAGCCTCTCTGGGCACAGAGAGAACTGCTCCTGTCTGTGC